TGGAGTTTAAATCTAATTTCAAACAAATTGTGTCTCTTCGAGTTCAATATCCTTCGCTGTGAAGTTGAAAATGACTGAATAAAATTGGAAAATTGTTTGTTGACAAACGCTCCTTCACTGTGAAGTTGAGCAACCACCATCAATTTCTGAATGTGCTTTTGATTCGAGTATCTTTCGTTTTGAAGTTGAAACTTGACTCTAAAAGCTACAAAAAAATATGTATGCAAAAAAAAATGATGAATGTGATGGTCTTAAGTATGTCTAAGATGCTTGCAACATGAATTAAATCTTGTTTTATCTATTGGGTGGAGTCTTGTGCTTTGTCTGTCTGTTCCTGCATGTAGAAGAAAGACCTCCAGAAGATCTGATAATCCACACCAGGATATTGAATTCCCAAAGATGCCCCGATATTCGATGTTGAATCTCAAAAGATGCCCCAACATTTGATAATTCAAAAATGCCCTCTTTGTTCCTCATCTATTGCTTCAGCACTTATTCTATGCATAAGCTTTATGTTTGAGAGTAACATGTCAAATACCAAGATCCACTCTAGAGAGATTGTCTTGTTTGAAAAGTGTTTTTCTTCTTCTTTTATTTTCGAGATCTGAAAACATCAAATAGAAGAGTTTTGAAAAATGTTTGATCAAAAAGTTTTAAAAATATTACCCCTTTCTCGGTTTCATAATTGAGACGAATCATAAAACTAGATTTCATTTGACATCAAATAATTAATTACAATATTAATCCTTCAATAAATTATAGCTATTTGACAAGTGTCAAGATCAAAGCTATCTTTGGAAAATGGTTAAGGAAACGATGAGAAAGCCTCAGGTTATTGCGCTTGGTCAATGGTTTGACTTTCTTATTTCTTTGATGTTCACTGATCTGATGGGGTAACTTGTATGCTCATCTACTAGAAGTATTCGCCGGCTCCCAGCCCTCATGGTCACACATTGTGCAATGTCTTATCAAGGAATTTGTATGATCGCCTCAGCTGCATAATTTTTATATTCGAGTCGCCTTTTTAGGTTTTCAACTCGAATCCTGATTTGGTTTCAAGACGTCATTAAAAATTTACATCTTGAACCTTATTTTTATTATTTTTCTCTATCATGCATTAAAGATTTTAGAAAACATTTTACAAATAAAGATTAATCCTGATGAGCGGGATGAAATATGAAAATAGTCTCTTCTGTTCAAAAATCCATGTATGATTAGAAGGGACTTTCAAGGAACGTAATGTAGGTCATGGTTCATGGTTATGAAAGAAAGGATAAGTAGGCCCAAACAAGTGTTTCAGGGTATTGAACTAAGGATCAATTTATTCTGATGCCCTCAATCCTGTTTTGATCAATTTGAATATGCATGTATGTCTCTCTCAATGCTCTATGGTCTTCGAGTAAAGTGATTTTGGAATAATTTTGCTTGATCAATCTCATAGTTTGATGCTCAATGTGTCATTTAAGTTGATTCTCGTCTCTTTTTCTTTGCTTTTTTTTTTATCTTCGCACTTGGCATTTGGTTTACCTTTTGGTATCTCTTCTGGATTAATGTCTTCACTCATGTGAGCAGATTTCTTACACATTTCCCCCCAGTGTGGGGTGATCCTTGGTTAGGGTTGAATCAGAAGAAAAAAATATTAAAGGCTCAAAAGGGGACAACAAAGGATATATATATACATATATGGATAAATGAAACAAAGTCGTTCATCATCTCATACACAAAATTCCTCGCAGAAGAGGTATCCCCAAGGGGATAGATTTTCAGGATTAATTCTATTCACATGAAAAAATGTAATTAATGCATGATAGAATTATTTCAAATTAATTGTCCTTTTATGCTTCTTGCTCCCAGCATGCCTCAATTGTACAAGCTCGTCTTCAGAAAATTGACACGAGATACCCAAGTTATATCTTTTGGTAGGAAGGTTCATGTTCAAGTGAAGATCTTGTACTCGATGTCTTAGGTTTTACTTAGGTTTTATTGGCAAAAAAATGTTGGGTTTACGTCTAAAAGGATGATGATGTGACTTTATTGACTTAAAGGTATCGATATGACTCTCTATGGATTATTTTGGGTAAAGAATCGAGGGATTTCATTTTTGATAGGATAAGAAAGGTCTGATCTTGCCATATGTTAAAAATCTATAATTCTTGAAGAATTAAAAGAATCCTTAATTCATTTAATATTCGAAGAATTAAAGATTAAAATTTGCTCAATTATTTCACCTTAGAAGGTAGCATAAATTCAGTCGTTTAGAAGATTAAGCAAATATGAAAGATCAAAAACATGTTCAAACAAAACAACGCTCTCAGTGCAAATGGTAGATGCAATGCCCCATTCTTCGATTGTCCATGCCCCTGAATCCATCAGGTTTTGGATCTCGCGCTTCAATGCCTCACGGTTCTCAAAGGAATGTACGGAGCTTCCTATGTGGTAATTGTACACCGCTTCAATATCGTAGCCCTTAGGATATGGGGACTCTTTTCTCAGATCATCCTGGTATACTTATCCCTAAAGTCAGTTGATCAGGCTCCCACTGTACTGATTTCAATTTTTTTAATTGTTAAAAACTTTCTTCTATGTGGTGTCACATGATTAAGAACACTGCATCGAATACTCCATGGAGAAATTTCAGGTTTATGAAAATGCTTAAAAATGAAATGTAGATGCAAAAATGCATGAAATACTTGAGGCGTTGATCCGAAAACATGTATGTTATTATAAATAATCCTTATTGGGGACAAAAATGTTTTATCTTTTAAGAGACAAAAAATATCCTGACAGCTTCTGACATGTTGACTAGTCTTCTGCCTTCGTCTGTCACTGGTTGAATAACCTGTCGACCTGCTCCGGCTTCTCTAGATGAACCGTACAAATGTTGAGTTGATTTTTGTACTGGTCCAAGAAGTCTCGAATGACTGCATCTCTGGCATTTATCTTTTGTTGAACCTGTTCCCAACGAATATGTCATTAGAGCCATCGATTGATAGGAACTATGTGAAGTTCATTTGTCTGTTTCTTGAATTCGTCAACAATGGTCTCCAATTTCAGCTATCGTTTTTCCTTTGTTGTCTTTGAAGGGACTCCCAAGATCAAAAACCTTCTTCTTGCCCCTGCAACCTTTTCCAGTCAGTTCTTCAAAGATAGACTTTCATTGTGCCTGAATGTAGACCCGGTTCATTCTGAGTCATTTATAATGCAGGAGAGTGATGTACTCTTCAATTGTGGGCACCACGTCTTCTGGATTGAATGTGACACATAGTCGCCTTGTAGACTATCCTCTGCATTTTCATCTATTGTATTACAACCACTATGTCCATTAATGCAAACTATTCATGTTTAACAAACACGTTTTTGTGGATCAACACCTCTTGCATTATGTTATGAAAATGCAAATGTAATGCAGAGAAAAATGAAAAAAATGACACAAACAAAAAAAAAGGAGATAAGTTAGTGTACGCAAAAAAAAAGTTAAATTAGTTAGTACATGTAAGATAATTGGCACAGATAAAAATGTCATTCAAAGATGAATATAACACCTACCCAGTCATGATATCTACCCGAACATGCTTTTATTAGATAATAATCCTACCAAACATGCTTTCTAACCACAAAGATGTATTTACAAGAAATTAATCCTAACCACATGGTATCTAGTTTGCATGTTGTCATTCAACAAAATTTAAATCAAAAGAAAAGGTTCAAAAATGCTCCTCATTTGTGTACACTTAATTCGGGTACCTACTGACAAACAGAGGTTCGGTATGATTATAACTATGGTGACTGTTCTACGATTCACTATATGCATGGTTTCGGCTTTATGAGGAAAAGGGTACTCGAATTGTCCTTGATGTCGGTTCCCCCTTGGACTGCCAAACCCTCAATCCTTACCCATTATAGGCTTAAACAGATCGAGTTCAATTCGAGGGGATACATTCTCTTATGCTCATACGGAGAATAAATTCACACGAAGACATAAGGTATATGAATCCCGAATGTTACTTGCTAGGCCCATACGGAGAATAATTTCTCACAAAGGCGTCGCTTTCACCCCCACTTAGAAAGTGTTCGGAGCTCGGGTATAGAGCTTATCTTATGAAAATGCCCGTGATGTGTGTGAGGAGGAATATTCAACCCTTTGACTCAAAAGGAAAATGAAACCACTCGATAAAAACTTAGACAGATCTGAAAGCAAAAAATCAAAATGTTAGTATAACAAAAAATGAAGCAATTACAAACTTTAATAAAATGATCATAAGTTAACTAAATACTCGAACTCATAATTTCCACCGAATAACAATGTGTAAGCGACTTACAGCCTGACTCTCTAAAAAGTCCTCAACAAAGTCGCCAAGCTGTCATAACCGTTTTTAGGTTGGATCAATTAAATATTGTATTAAAAACAGTTACGACTTTGTAATTTTGAAGAATGGGTGATTTTGAATTAAATTGGATAAAATTGGATAGAGTCACCATCAACCTAGGTAGGTCGAATACCTAAAAGCGTATTTTAAAAACAATTTTAAGAAAAATCGTTTTTTAAGATAAAAGTTGGTATGCGTTTACCAAAGATTCGATTAAAACGGGTTCGGCACACGTGGGGAAGGATTAGCACCCCCCACAGCACCCAAAATTGGTATTATTTCGCTTACACGTTGTCGTAATGATGGAAATCATGAATCAAATATCAAGTTAAAATATGATTCATTTATTAAATATTAATAACTTGCTTCAAATTAATTAATTAAAGAAACTATTTTACTTGAATAATAGATCTAGCAAAAATATGAACTTAAAGGATTAAAATGGTAAAAATAGAAACTTACAAGGCTAAAATAGCTAAAACAGAAATTTAAAGGACATAAATAGCAAAATCAGAAACTTAAGTGACTAAAATAAAATAACAGAAACTAAAGTGTCAAAATCAGAAAAAACACAAAGATTTATGTGCTGGAATGAAAAATATGCATAAAAGTTTAGGGACTAAACAGAAATTATACAAAAAAACATAACATCATCATAAAAAAGTCACCGCCCACCGTCGTCGCGTCGCCGTGTCGCCACCGCAGACCGCTGTCGTGCTGCCGCGCCACCACCGTCACAGGTGGCCGATGGTTACCAAATTTCACCAAGAAGTCCTTCTTGGCCTCCTCATCTTAGATATAGAGTCAGTTTTGCGTGAATCAGCTCCGTTCGTCGTAAAAAATGCCAAAAACCGTTCAGATTTATTTTCTCCAATCTGTCGTCGTCCACCGTCTAATCGTCCTGATTTTTTAATATTTTGTTCGAGTTGATCTCATGCAACTTTTCACCATTTGGAATGTTGATCAGACATGCTGATCGCCGGCAAGAGGCCAAAAACCATTCAGATTTGTTTTCTCCGATCTGCCACCGTCCGATCGTCCTGATTTTTTAATATGTTGTTCATACTGGCCTCGCTCAACTTTTGACCATTCAGAATGTTGATCAGTGGTCCCGATCGTCAAGGAAAATTTTGGCAGAATCACTGAAGCTTTTTTTTTTCTTCATGTTTCTTCTCCTCCCTTCTGGCTTCCTACGTTTTGCTCTGGTGTCTTATCTCTGGCCCCCATGTTTGGCCCCCTTTTTCTTGTATCTAGCATATTACCTATATATCATAAGAAAATAATTATTATGAGTGGAGAAATAAAAAATAGAAGAAAACATGGAATGGTGGCATAAATCATAGAGTAGTGGAAAAGTTGAGTGGGTTTTTATTTAATGCTTAGTGGATGTTTTGGTGGATAGTGGTATGGGTGGAGATGTAGTGGTAGGTTTTAAATAATAATAATAATAAATAATACTAATATTAACAACAACAACGACAATAATAATACTAATAATAATAATACTAATAATAATAATATTTAATAATATATTTTCGACCCGTACAAAAATGGGTGTCTACAGCGGATTATAGAGGATGCAAATTAGATAGGAAAAGTACCTCTGGTACTTGCCAATTCCTTGGAACTGTGCTGATTTCTTGGTTTTCAAATAAACAAAATTGTGTTGCATTATCTACCACTGAAGCGGAATACATTTCAGCCGGTAGTTGTTGTGCACAAGTTTTATGGATGAAACAACAACTTTTTGATTATGGAATTGAAGTAGGTACCATTCCTATCAAGTGTGACAATACCTTATAATCTCCAAACCACAACTTAGAAATAGTAGTTTTATTTATGTACCTGGCTGCAGACACAGCTTCTTCAATGTTAGGGAAAACACCGGGTTCAGAAAAATCCTTCACGGATCTATCGACTCGCAGCCACAGTTGAGGGTGGCAAGCCAAATAACACCATCTGTGGCAAACGAGGGCGGTGTTATACCGATCTGCAACTCAATAGCATTATGTAAAAGAGATTGTGCTTGGTAATGGGATTAAAAAGCATTAGAAATGACCATGCCTACTAAAAAGCTTTCAAGACTCTAGAATGTGAAACCTCTGAACACCAATCTGGAGACCATTCTTAAAGAATGAAGAGAAAGAAAAAAGCCGCATAAGAATGCGACTGCAAAGAAAATTACTCGAAACCGTTTCTTCATACCTTTTTACCTCCTTCGTGTCATGTTCTCTTGCAAAACAACTAAATATCCTACCATTACCGCTACATTATTATACAAGAATACCACTAATTTTGATGCGTTCAATAAAAGAAATTTTTTTATGACAATATATGAATCTCAACATTGCAGCCGCCATTTCAGGGTCCTACCCAAGTAAAGTTTTGCTATGCCTCCACTTTAGAATAAGTAGTCAAAGTCCCAAAGAGCACGGTACATCCATTGATTTCAATAAGGAGAAACCGAGTAATACATATTACTCCATGGCCCATGCATTGCACGAAGGATATCCAAGTTCAATTCTTCGGTGGAAAAAACTATAGAGATTGGCAGGTACAAAACAAACCGAGGGAGTCGTCAATAGAATGGAAGTGGAGTGAGTTTAAGATTATGGTTTTGTGAATAGCGGCAGCATTCTGAATCCAACTGCCCGAAATTTGGGTATTAGGGATGGAAAACCAAAATGAAAGCTCAGGTTCTTAATATAACCCAATTATCAAGCACAAACAAGAACTATCAGAGTAAAATACATTATATCATAAGAATCACCAGAACTAGGAAAAAGAACTGAATTCAACAAAGTCAAATTCCCAATAAATATTATTATACCTAAACTGGATAGAATTAACCTTCAGCTCACTTCCAATTGATCTAAAATAACATTAATTTCTTATCGCCAACATAAAAATGCCTAAAAGTAATAAAATCGCTTCATTCATATAAACCCTAAAATTCTACTTCCTATGAAACGAAAACCAATGATTGACTAAAAATAACATAATTTCCTTAAAACTCATATGAAAAAATACGAAATTGAAGATAAATAAATAAATCCATAACCAAATGAAGCAATCCAAGAGTTCAATAAAAAAGATTTAAAAATAAAATACCCAACCTGGAATGGGAGATAAGAAGCTGAAAATATGCATGAGGCAACCATCATCAAGATTATTAATAAGAGCAGAGGATGAAGATGAAGAAATCTTTCTTGACTTTCTCTTGGCTTGTTCCTCCACCTCCATGTCCTGCCTTTGCCTTACCAAAGATGAAGATTACTCTAATTTTTGCTTTATTTTCAAGTATGTAGTGAACAAAAAAACGACACGACAGTCTTCTGAGTCACTACTTGGATAAATAAACAAATGGTCACTAATATTTAACTATATTTTAATTTACTTCACTAAAGTTTAAAAAATAATACATTAATCATTAATATTGTCCTATTTATAATAAACCATTCCTCCATTTTTGAGTGACAAAATAAATAATGTGACACATTGAATGATTGGGTCCAACATTTCCCCTCACGATAACCCATATTGGCCATCTTCTCAGAAGCTACACCCTTGCCCTAGTATGATTTTCCCATTTAGCAGAGATTATACCTCTATGTGGAGTAGTGCTTTTAAGAAAATTATGCTCCTTGGATTGTCTTCTTCATCATAGTCACTAGAATCAGATTATTCAGAGCTTAGTTCACTTTCTTGTTCATCACTCATTTATGCATATTCAGATAAGGTTAGGGCTTCTATCACGAGCTCTGTTGAGCTTCCATCGTCACGAAACACAACCTTCCCCGAAAAAAGGAAGAGAGAGAGAAGACAAGAGAGAGGGCTTCGCTCTAAGCGAGAGTTTATAAGCCAACGATATCTCCATGGCCAACTCTTGCCAGAATAAAAGGAAACTGGTTAAAGAATATGGTTTTATCACCAGGAAGCTAATCTACATTCACTCTCGATCACGTGCACATCGCATGAAGGAAACCAAGATAAAAGGGTCGTCACTCTATTGAAAATGATTGATCCACTGTGACTTTGGGTACTAGTATGTCCAAGTAATTTTGTTCTTTTGGGTTGATATGAACTTTGTTCTTTTGAGTGGATTTAGCTTTAATGGTTATATTCTTTTAAAAAAATGTTTTGCTTCCCTCCATATCAGGGGTGGAGCTCTGTTGGGCCCAAAGGGCCCCGATCCCTGTAATTTTTTTTATGTTCGATAGATTAGTATTTTAGTTTATTAAAAAATAAATATTCGAATTAAAAATATAAGAATTTATTAAATATTCAATCAAGTAGGGGCCATATTAAAAAAAGGATAATCCAATGTTCTCATTTTGTTTGGTCTAATAACAATTTAGGTTATTGTAAGATTAAATATTAGACAAATTAGACATTGTCTTCTGAATTTTAACTTTAAATACCTAATAAACCATTGTATTTTTCTTAAAAAAATTCAATATTTCGGTCTATGTCAATATATAATCTTGACTCAGTCCCTGATCTAGATGTCAACTTTACTATCAGAGACTGCTCAAATACTGGACCGGACCCAATTATAGTCTTTTCTTTAATGGCAGTCAGATTCAAAGTTCCTTCTTTTCTCCATCCTCGCCTTTCTTTCTTTCATTCTTTTCTACAGTATAAATAAAGAAGATAAAAATTGTAAGAATGAAAGAGAGGGAAATAGATTTAGAGGGGAGTCAAATCACCAGTCAAATAGTGAACATGCCACATTATTCAGTTAACATGCTACATCAGTATGTTGTCACTCACAATAACGACTGTTAAAGCATTAGTGATCAATTTTTTATTTTTAAAATTTCAATAGAAAAAACAAAAACCTACTTAAACATTAATGACTATTTATATAGTTTACCCTTCTTATTATTGCTTCCTTTAATATTGTAACACTCAATCTAGACATTACAACAAAATATCGAATGTCATAATTTACAATTTTACAAGTTAAAACCACTATAAGAATCGTGTAGGAAAAACATGCAAGTCTAGAAAACATACAAATAAATCGAAAGAACATAAATTCTAATATATTTTACAAACTATTATCATGGTATGATAAATAAAATAATAGAGGAAGCATAATACGTAATAAATATTAAAAATTAAATCTTCAATCCTTCAGATGTCGAACTAGATCCTAAACTATTCAATTGTGTGAAAAGAATGAAATAAACAAGATAAATAAAAGGTTCATTGTGATTTGGAGACTATAGATAATCTGAATAGAGTACAATTATTATAGAAAAATATATTTACAACGATAATATCCAATAAGAGGCATGTAATGTGAAACATAAGACCCCCATAAATGTAACCACTAGGGATGTCTCATGAAAAAAATGTACCACCAGGGATGTATCATAAAAAATGTACCTCAAGAAAATGAAGCAACAGAATATAACAACCAAAATTCACTGGGTTAGTTGGGAAGCAATGTGTAAACCAATATTAAAAGGGGCTTTGGGTTTTTTTAATTTGAGAATCAAGAATCGGTCATTGCTTCATAAATGGATTTAGAGATTTGCGAGCAAAGAGGATTGTCCATGGAGAAAGGTGATTGTTGCAAAATATGGTTTAGCTTAGGCTTCGTTACTACCCAAATCTAGTAAGAGAAATAAATTTTTGAGGATTTGGTGTAATATTTGTAACGCCCCAAAATACATGTTAGGAGTTTCGGGTATATTCGAATGGGCTTTAAAATAATTTTCCTTTTGTATATGAAGTTTTAGACCCAAGTAGGCTTGACTAAGGCTTAGTATGAGCCCAACAAGCTTGAGAATATATGATTTTAATCATGCAACAAATGGAGCACTAGGGAAGCAATTAACCTATTTTTCAAACCAAAGGCTGAATTCCCATTAAGAAGGATGATATCATGTTAATTTTTCCTATTTTCTCTTTTTCACAAAAAGCTTGTCTTTTTCCTCTCCGCTCTTTGTATCTTTTTAATCTCCCAAAACCAAGTCAAAGTTGAGAACTTTAAGAGTTATAAGAAACCATTGTGCATTCTAAGGTAATATTCACAACCTTCATCCTTCAAGCTTTCATTCAAAACCACTTTTACAAGTTTTTGGCTTAATCTCCTTGAAAACGGGTTTATGTGGGGTTTAGGAAGTTTGAGGTTTTAATCCATTTTGAGACAAATATGGGTTGTAGGATTGTTTTAGCACCTTCCTAAGCTTTAAAATGAGTTAATAACTCATCCTTTTTATTCTAATTAGTCCAAGAAACGGGTGACAGCTCTAAGGCAATGAGGAAGAAAAAACTCACTCTTGGGTGAAGTGGCAGCATGCTAGTACAAGGTAACACGATTATAACTTGTCCATACCACATTTAGTTCATTAAATGTGTATATATGGTATGTTATGCTCATGCAAGCATGTTAGAGAGATTTCATGGAAAGATTCGTATTTGTGTGCTAAATACATGAAAGATGGTTTCTTTTTACCTCTAAGACCTCAAATAAGTCATTAATAAGCTTTGATAGTCTTAGAGAAGTGGATGGATGAGATTTGAGTATGTTTTCGTCTTAAAACAGAGCATTTTGGTCCATCAGTATAGCTACTAGAAGAACAATACCGATACTATGCTTCGTGTAAGGCCTAAATCAGGCTATTTTGCAAGGGAAGTATCGATACTCCCTATAAAAGTATCGATACTCAGGGTCTAGTATCGATACTCAAAGGGTCAATATCGATACCAATGTATTTTTGAAAACATTGAAGCCAAATTTGGTATCGATTTTCATGGGGGTATCAATACCCAAGATAGAGTATCGATACTCCCCATAAGAGTATCGATACCCATGTATTTTTCAAAAACATCGAAGCATATTTTGGTATCCATACCCGGTTGGGTATCGATACCCATGGGGTGAGTATCGATATTACTGGCCCAGTATCGATACCCAAGGTGATTTTTGGGCAATTTTGTTCAATTAATTTTATGGTTCGGGCTTGGGTGTTTTGAGTCCGTATGAGATACACAAGTATTCAAAAAAAAGTGAAAATAATTAAGACTTCTAATTTCTCATCTAGAAATAAAGAAAGATAGGATGAGATAAGATTGGCCTTGTGTGACACTCGGGACATGGTTTGGACACCCCCGTTGCTCTAGCATTATGACGATCGTTGTTCTTTTGTGAATATCTAGATATTATTTATTTGGAACTCATCCGATTAATGTAAATTTCAGGTCGTACTGGTGCAAATTTTAATACACATAAATTCTGGAATCGTACCCTATGTTTAACTAGGTATGAGATGTGAGCTTTCGATGCACGTAAATTATGGACCTCATCCTAACCTCTCGGATCCGAGGTAGACTAAGGGCCATAAGTTTCGATGCACTTAAATTTCGATTCTTACCCCAAAGCTATCATGTTCTAGATAGGCTAGTGTGTTGTATAGGATACACGTAAATTCCTCCTACCTCACTATTTGGCCTATTTCATGGTTGATATGTATTTATGCATGTTTATGACTTTGCATTCCGACATGTTCATGTAATAAAGGCATGTAGTATTGCATAATTATTCTCGTGGAACTAAGCTTTTGAGCTTAGTGTATGGAATATATTTCCATGCACAGGTTAGTAGAGGGGATCATTGATGAGCCTATCGCATCCGTACATTCCAGACCAGAAGATTTGTAGAGTATGTATGTATCCTATATGAACCTTATGTATTTGAGTCATAATTCTATTTTGATTTAATATTCTATGGTTATATTGTACGTATTTGAAGGACTTATGTTCTGTAAATGTTGAATTTGATTTTCTCTCAAATTATGATGAGTTATTTTGATGATTATAATCATTTTTAAAAGAAATTTTTCGGTTGATCATTTTATTGGTTCCGTGTGGCATCATAATCCATGGATCTTTGGGTCAGACTGGATTATGGTGTTACATTTAGTGGTATCAAAGCATTCAAGTTTAGTCGTTCCTAGGACCCATGGGTCATAATCAGTAAGTGTCTATGTGAGTACATGCCCCTAGAGTATCAAAAATACTTACGAATCTAGAATGTCGCTAGTGACCTCTATTTGCTTTCTAATTTCATGATTTGATTATGGCTGATGACGATATTCTGAGTCATGAGGTCCAGGAGGAGAGTCGAACCTATTTGCCAGGAGAATTTGGTGACAAGTTATTAGAGTATGCCCAAAGACCAATCATATGATGATTGTAATAATACTTTTATTTACCGATTTTATTGAATAAAGGCATTGCTGCTATTATTTTCA